CCGAACTCACCGCCGCTGCCCTTCGCTTAGGAAGAAGGAAAGCACGAAAGCACGAAAGCACGGCGAGCGCCGGTCGATGGGCGATATCGATCGCGCACAGCCGCTAACAGCCGCTCACTAGAGCGACCGAGCCGAATATGTGTGACAGGCCAACGCACTCCGGCGAGAGACATTCCTGATTAACACACAAACGAAAGGGGACACACGACGAACGAAGCCGCAGAGGGCTAACCCGTCCATATCAACCCCAAACTAGCTGTAAGTGGAATTCTGTCTTAAGGCAATTAGGGCATCGTGCCTTAAGGCAAATTGCTGGAACTTCCCGTACCAAAAATTATGATTTTTTTAAAAACGATTAACATTTTTGAAAAAAATTTACTTCAAAATAATTAGATTTTTGAGAAACTAGGAATATGACAAAAAATTACTTTTTTTTGAAAAAAAATTTTTACTTGAAAAAAAAATTTTTTTTGAAAGAAATTTTTTTTTTGAAAACAAACTATTTTTTTGAAAAGAAAAATGTTTTCTTCATTTTGACATATTTTGGAAATTCTGAACTTTTTTCAAAGCAATCGTACTGCTTGAACTGCATAGAGACGAATTGTCACAGCGCAAATGCCGCGCCGCCGTCTAACGCATAAACATTGGTACGGAACCCATAGAAATGTAAAAAAAATTATACTTATTGTTAAAATTTCTATACAATATCTGATAATTTGATGTGCATATGTCTAATCATCATTTTTAAAATAGCATTTTTTTTTACTTTTTTTATTAGATCTCCGAAACCGCTAGACCTGCCTTCATGAAAATTTGATCAACTCTTCATCTTGCCAATACAAGTAAAATGTTTTTTGAATTATTCAAATCGGACGCTCCGTTCTCTTAAAAACTGAGTTACCGTTTTCGGCACTTTTTGCCCCGTATCTTCGGAACGGCTAGACCTAACTTCGCCAAAAACTAATCAGCACGTCTCCTTATCAGTACAAATCGAATGTTTTTTGAATTATTCAAATCGGTTGATCCGTGTTCCCGAAATCGTCGACGAAAATTTGTATCCGCACATACATACACACACATACATACACACACACACACACACACACACACACACACACATACATCCATTTTTTCTAAGGTATGCCAAAATGTTCAGAAACCTCTGAAACGTAAAGATATATAAAAATTTTCATTTTCGATTTTTTTGCGATTACTATAACTTACCCTACGGGAAGTTAATTATTTTACATTTGACGGAAGACTAGTTTTTAACATAACATTGAAAAATGAAACAATATTGAAAACGTTCTGTTTACTTATAAGCTTGATAAATTGTTATAGAAGGTAGTAGGTACATATATACATATACGTATGTGATAAATTTTCATGTGGTAAAAGTACGTAGATAAAACAAAAATGATTTTCAACGGTTTTGCATCCATATAACAGAAAGAAAAACTAGTGGTGCATGGCATCGTGTCTTAAGGCAAATTGCTGAAACTTCCCGTAACAAAAATTATTATTATTTTAAAAACGATTAACATTTTTGAAAAAATTTTACTTTAAAATAAATTAATTTTTGAGAACAAAAAATTACTTTTTTTGAAAAAAAAAATTTTTTTTTTTTTTTGAAAAAAAAAAACTGTTTTCTTTAATTTTACATATTTTGGAAATTCTGAACTTTTTTCAAAGCAATCGTACTGCTTTAACTGCATAGAGACGAAATGTCAAAGCGCGTGAACGCCGCGTTGCCGTCTAACGGATGAACATTGGTACGGAACCCATAGGAATGTAAACAAAATTTATACTTATTGTTAAAATCTCTATAAAATATCTGATAATTTGATGTGCATATGTCTAATGATCATTTTAGACCGCCAAATGGCATTTTTTTTTTACTTTTTTCATTAAATCTCCGAAACCGCTAGACCTGCCTTCATGGAAATTTGATAAATTCTTTATCTTGTCAATACAAGTAAAATGTTTTTTGAATTATTAAAATCGGACGCTCCGTTCTCTTAAAAACTGAGTTACCATTTTTGGCATCCACATACGTACATCCATTTTTTCTAAGGTATGCCAAAATATTCAGAAACCTTTGAAACGTAAAGATATATAAAAATTTTCATTTTCGATTTTTTTGCGATTACTATAACTTACCCTACAGGAAGTTAACTAGTGGTGCATAGCATCGTACTTTAAGGTAAATTGCTGGAACTTCCATTAAAAAAACTTGAATTTTTTGTATGCGCCGCTTAGCAGTGTAGCGAAACATTGGAACCCATAGAAATGTAAACAAAATTTGTACTTATCATTACAATCTCTATAAAATATCTGATAATTCGATGTGCATATGTCTAATGATCATTTTTGATCATTGGATCTGCAAAACCGCTGGACTTGCCTTTCCAAAAATTCAATCAGTTTTTCATTTCATCGATACAAATAAAATGTTTATTGAATCATTCAAATCGGACGCTCCATTATCTCAAAAACTGAATTACCAGTTTTGGCACTTTTGTCCCGTATCTTCAAAACTGCTGGACTTGCCTTTGCCAAAACTAATCAGCAAGTCTCCTCGTCAATACGAATCGAATGTTTTTTGAATTATTTAAATCGGTTGATCCGTGTTCACGAAATCGCCGACAATTTTTTTTATCCATATATACATACATACATACATACATATATTTATTACACACACACACAAACATCGATTTTTTCTAAGGTATGCCAAAATGTTAAGAAGACCTTAAGACGTAAATATCTGTGACAATTTTTATTTTCGATTTTTTGCGATTACTATAACTTGCCATACGAGAAGTTAAAATAAAGATTTTTAACAGATTTTCAATCATATAACACAATGAAAAATAAATTACGATTTTAAAATATTTAATAGACTTCTATGTTTAGTTATAGAGTAATGTTAACATTACTCAATTCGAATTTTAATTAGAATTAATTTCTAATTCTAATGTTATTCAATTTGTAATTTGAAGAAAATTATTATAAATAATAATTGTAAAGAAAATGATAATCAAAAAGGCAAAATTAATTCTATTTTGATATAACTATACCCACATTAATTATAACTATATACGTTGGCCATATTAATTCCAGATTTGAAGAAATTTGAAGAAAAAATATTATAATAACTATACAATTAATTCATATTTTAACATTTTCTTTAAAATTTAAATTTTGTACGAGAACACATACAACATATGTGTATATAGATAAAAAATAAAAAAAATCTATTCACACATCTGAACAAAATTTAACTATATTTCTAATAATTTTTAATAAACTTCCATACGTTTCAGAACCCAATTTGACTCTTATTCAGTAAATAAAACACAACACTTCCAACATTTGTTTAAAATGTTCAAATATTTTTAAATAAATATTTTATACTTTTTCACAAATATGATCGTTAATCAAGTTTTATTTTCATTGAATGTCGTTTTTGACTTTTTCGAATAATTTGTGTGTTTTATCTACTGAAGGGACTCGAAACGTACGAAAATTAATTATTTTTCAGAAACATAATCTCTATTATCTAGATGAATGTCTATTAAAAATCTTTAATATCTTTATGTATTTATCTATATATATACATATGTATGTATAAATGTGCATGTGTTCTTGAACAAGTGTTACATTTGAATAAAAATGTTAGTACATTATTTATATATTAAGTTATTATACCAGTTTTTCTTTAATTTTCCTTAATTCTAATTACGATCATATAATAATTATTATAAGAATCAAAATTATGTCGCCTTCTCGGGAATTTAAATTATTTGAAATTTTAGAAAATAATACCACATTTATATTAATATTACCCACAATTAATTTATATATTATTTTCAACATAGATATAATCAAATTTTATTTAAATATTGCTTCCTTTTTTAATGCAAAAATGAAATGAAATTGCATGTACACGGTACATTGCGATATTCAAGATGTTTTTAAAAAATACTAGGATTTAATTAATTTTAAATAAGATTAATATTATATTAGTAAAAGCAGTTGTGATATATTTATTTTACTAGTGCAATAAAAAACTGGAAAAAATATTAGTTGTCCAATTATACACATGAATTAATTTTGGCCCTAATTCATGCGTACCTATAAAACTATTTCTATTTTGTGAATTTATATATTTTTAACAATTTTTCAAATTTCGAATGAATTAGAAAAAGTTTAGAAGAAAAATGTTGTATATATATTTATTATAATTAGTTTATTATAGAATTTATATCAATATTAATCATGTGCATAACTGTTCGTATAATTATGTCTATTTCACAAAATTTGAGGGCAATATTTTACACGCGACATTATGTTTTTAAAAATTTAAACTAAGTGATTTAGTTTTTAATATTAATTATTTCTATTGAACATATTTGACTATACGAGTATATATTAATGCAAATGAACTTTAATTTAGATATGTTTTAAATTTCTCTCGAAACATAAAACATTAAAACTTTTCAATAAATAATGTAATTATTAATACGAATTTGTTTGTTGTATTTGTATATTATCATATTGCAACCCCATAATAGAAATTGTATAGTTCATTCATGCACACATAATTCCGTTATAAGCCTAAATTAACCGATACGAAAATGAATCGAAACAGATGTTTAGCAGTGTGGATCTGGATGCTCAATGTATGTAATGATGGCAAATTAGAATTCGAGAAACGCAATCGTACCGATCTGATAAGTAATAACATGTAAGGAGCAATCGCCGAAAGACGGCCAAGCGTCGAAAGACGAAGCGAGCGGCACGGTCTGCTGGCTGAGAGTTACCAAAAGGCGGACGGCAAATGAGTGGGATGTGGGCGGATGGCAAAGACGATTTGTGCGAGGCCGCGCGATGTCTCTGAGCACGAGTCACTTAAAAGCGCGCTTTACGCACAAAGAATCGCACACAGAGCGCGCTGCCAAACCAACTCAATTAGAAGGAAGAAGTAAATCTACGAATCAAATCATAAAATTGCATAACTTACCCGCCAGCCTCAACGCAGACATTCGCTGGAACTCCGGTTCCTGCAACCACTTGTACATCCTTCGAAACGTCTCGCGACCAGATTTCAGCTTCGACCAAGGTTTCGGGTTACGCAGTAAATCCGAAAGCGTTCCTTGAGATCTACACAAAACCCGCTGTGCAAATATTGCTTGTGGTATACTATAACGTTTTAGCTCTGCACTGATGCGCTGTGCCAATTCCTTCGTGTTGATTTCTTCACCGTCTGAAGGCGCAGATACTGACGTCGTTTGCAGAAGTGTTGCGTTATTAATATTTTTACCTTGCGTTTGTAGTGTCAGCAACGGGGGCGAAGGAGAAGATTGTTCACGAATCACGTGTGATATTTGCACTAATCCAGGCGGCGCGTTTGTATGTTGATTTAATCCATTGAGTGATGACAGACCTGAACCAAAACCTCCTCCCATACCACCGTCTGGTGATCTGACCGATCCAGACGAAGGCGGACTTAACACAGGACTCTGTTGCATGGGTCTCTGGCCGTAAGGAGAATCATAACCCGATGGCGATAAACTTTTTTGGGGAGATTGAAGTCCGTTTTGACTATAAGCACTATGAGGTGATAGTGGACTATGTTGCTGCGACATAACCATTGCTCCAAGAGTATTGGCGGGTGGAGAGTAATCGTGCGGCGGCGACATGCCCATCGATGGTAACTTGTCATATGCATAAGGAGAACTTGAACCAAGTGCTAAACCGATACCCATACCATTATTTTGTAAAACTCCTGTTGCATGGCCATAAGCAAACTTATCTGACATTGTCGATATCGGAGGCAGAGGCTGCAGAGGAGTCAAAGTTGCATAAGACGAACCAGGACTAAAACCAGGCGGTGACATTCGGCCATTTACCGAAGTCAACGTTTGGTACGTAGGCTCGTGAAGTGAACGAAAATCAGCCGTATCGTCCATGATGGTCGTTTCATCGTTAGGTGTAAGCTTCTCGGGACTGAGAAGTTGGGAATCCCTGGAATCGTCTTGCAGTTGTACTATCACTGTTAAAGTCTCCTCGGGCGCTCGTTCGCCGGAATCGGCAACGCGCGTTAACAATCCAACATGTTGACTGGCGTTACTTATATCGCCGCGCGAATGAGAATTGCTATGTTGCGTACTGGACACCGGCGACTCGACCGCATCGTTCAAAGGCTCCAGGAGCGATTGTTGCTGTTGCTGTTGTTCTATCATATCGTCGATCGTATCCATTACACGAGTTCACACTTGTTTTGTAATTTTTGGGGTTGTTGTTGACACCACTTAATCACACACTGGCGTGTACGGAAAACACTACGACGTCACATAACAGCACTTTTTGTTTACGTTAACTATAAGACAATATTACGACGGTACCGATGCACGGCCGAAGCCGTGTGTTGTGCGCACAACAGGACGACATTCGATGTAATAGTACGCGACCATGTTTTTCACTGGGCTGTGTGTTGTATAGTGTTTGTGAGAATGCTAGAACGCTACCCCTGGGGCGACTATCCGACCCTTGACTGGCGCGTTTGCCGAGTCGGCGCGCTCCATACGCGAATCGCACGGGGTTGAACACTATGCGTACTTCAATCGGCACGACACCGCCATATTCGACTTGCAGCTGTTCCACAACATTACAGAGATGGATTTATGTAATGGACACAGGAAAGCGGCAATAAGCTTATATTCAATCACACTTGTTATTTTAGATAAAAAATATTTCATTATCATTATAATTATTATATACATACAGTATTTGCTCAAAATATAGTAAACAGTTATTACCAATGTAAAGAAAGTTGCGACACGTTAAGGAATTTGTGTCTCACTATTTAAGTTTGAGTATTTTATAAGAAGAAAATTAAAAATACTATAATAAATTTACTACTTTAATGTTTTAAACTATATAATTCACACACAATTTTTTTAAAAACAATGAAATCATTATATTATATTATATTATTATATTATAAAAAAATATTAATAATAATTTGACTTTAATTTAAATACTTAAAACTAACGAAAGTCACCGATCAATTAAGTCACTTGTCAATAGAATCCATTGATATGAACAGTGGAACAGAATTCGAAGCGTAGAAGCACGTGTGTTCTTTCTCGTAGGTACAACCCTGTGCGCTACGTTGTCCGCTGATACACCAGCGCCGTAACAGAGTCGCGTTTGATTCCTTATCAGTATACTAATTTTATAAATGCAATATTCAGTAATAGCAATATATATGTTTGTATGTAAATAATTAGAGTTATACTGATCCTCTATATTATAGAGTATATATTAAAAATAGAGACAAAAAAAATGGTAAATAAATACATATGACAATTTATTTTCCTACAAAAAACATTTTAAATTTTGATATAACTTTTAATATTGACCATTTACAATGGCAAGAATTTTTTTCCTCGAGGCCACAATTCCGGCCCATCGGCATAAGAATGACGCGTTAGTATTGTGTGGAATTCCATAGTTCATATATACGGCACAGGCGACTGTATAGAGCGGGTACCCCCGACGGCAACGCGCGCCCGTATTATCGATCGGTCGCTCTATCACAACCCCCCGCTCCCGCGACACGACTCAAATCGCGCGAAAAGGGAGCGCGATACGAGGATGCTTTTGACCCTTTAATGCGCAGTCGCGTGCCCACCAGGCCTTCTAAACAGTACGGATAAGATAACGTTTGTAACGAAAAAAAAAACTAGCTGTAAGTGGAATTCTGTCTTAAGGCAATTAAGGCATCGTGCCTTAAGGCAAATTGCTGGAACTTCCCGTACCAAATATTATTATTTTTTTAAAAACGATTAACATTTTTGAAAAAATTTTACTTCGAAAAAATACGATTTTTGAGAAACTATAAATTGGACATAAAATTACTTTTTTTTGAAAAAAAAAATTCTTTAAAAAATTTTTTTAAAAAAAAAAATTTTTTTTTAATTTTTTTTTTGAGAAAAAAATGTTTTCTTTATTTTGACATATTTTGGATGATCTTAACTTTTTTTCAAAGCAATCGTACTGCTTTAACTGCATAGAGACAAAATATAAAGCGCGTAAGCGCCGCGTCGCTGTCTAACGGATATCATTGGTACGGAACCCATAGTAATGCAAACAAAATTTATACTTATTGTTAAAATCTCTATAAAATATCTGATAATTTGATGTACATATGTCTAATGATCATTTTTGACCGCCAAATGGCATTTTTTTTTACTTTTTTTGTTAGATCTCCGAAACGGCTAGACCTGCCCTCTTGAAAATTTGATCATTTCTTCATCCTGTCAATACAAGTAAAATTTATTTTGAATTATTAAAATCGGACGCTCCGTTCTCTTAAAAACTGAGTTACCGTTTTCGGCACTTTTTGCCCCGTATCTTCGGAACGGCTAGACCTGCCTTTGCCAAAAACTAATCAGCACGTCTCCTTATCAATACGAATCGAATGTTTTTTGAATTATTCAAATCGGTTGATCCGTGTTCCCGAAATCGTCGACGAAAATTTGTATCCGCACACACATACATACACGCACACACACACACACATACATCCATTTTTTCTAAGGTATGCTAAAATATTCAAAAACCTTTGAAACGTCGAGAAATGCAAAAATTTTCATTTTCGATTTTTTTGCGATTACTATAACTTGCCCTACTGGAAGTTAAAAATAGTTTTGGTTACAGATTAATCGCAACGATAATATAAAAAAATACACATGGGACATTGTTACTTTATTAGATAATTTAGTTAAAAATGTATCAAGAAAATTTGATGTATCAAAGAATTTTTTTTTAGCAAAATTTTGAAAAAAACACTATTTTTAATGTCACACATATATGACTGGCATGATTCTATTGTGTTGTAAAAAAGTCAACCACCGTTATCTCAAAAACAAGCAAAGTTAGGAATTATTTAACAACAATATTTGAAAGTAGAGGGAAAAGGATGAATAATAAGCTATCACCTTGATTCTTACAACGTCGTTATCTGGAGATAAACGACAATGTTTGAAAATCCTTAATAATAGTATTTTCTTTAGTTAGTTTTTTTGGTTATGAGCACTGTTGTTTACTTTACAAGACCTCGATATAACTTTTAGGTACACGTTATTTTATTGCTTTATAAGATGTATTATTATTTTTAAGTTAAAGTAGTCAACAGTTTTTTTTATATAATCTCTATGAAAGCTCACATGTGGGTGGAGTAAAAAGTACCAACTGAACCTTCACCCTGGCAAAGGTGTAAACAGTAAAAAATTGTAAATAAAACAGTAAATTAAGTTAATAAAAGCAATTTTACAGGAGAAAATTTAAATAAATATCTATTCTAACTATGCTGATAATTATTTCTGACTAAATAGTAGATCAAGATTGTATACAGTGTTATCTCTGTAAATACTCATGAAATTTATATTTTGCATTAGTTGAATAACGTACCTATTATTTCATAAAATCACTGTAGAGTTAAAAATAATACATTGTATCTATTTGCCCGATTGCTGTCCCTTTTTACCCAGCCCTTGAGGTGAAAAAAACAGATTTTTTTTTGTTGAAGAACAGCAAAAAAACTTTGTTCGTTTTACTGAACCTAGTCAGATAGTTCAGAAATCCTGAAAAAAAAGAAAACTGGATCGGGCTCATTCTGCAAAAAGAGTACCTTCTACACAACGTCGTCTAAAATAGGACTAAAAAAGGATGTGGAAGAAGAAGAATGCAGATGATTGATGACTTACATGAGAAAAGAAAATACAGAAAACTGAATGCCAAAGCACAGGACCAAGAAGCATAAAAGTAGAAATTTGAAAAGAAAACGCATAAAAGTGTATAATGGAAATAATAAACAAGGCAGAAGAAGGGAATCATTGATTTGTAATGCTTTCACGCCATGAGCCGACTGCTATTTAGTGTTTATATATTATTATCTAATATATCTATAAATAACTTAATTATTATAACTGTAATAATTATTATATAACTTCATATTATTGACCAAAGGAGAAGTTTGTTTTCGTCAGAAAATTGAAATTGCTAAGATAGTGTTTTTTGGACATTATAAATCATTATAAAACGTTTGAGACTAGAATTGGTAAAAGCATGTACGTGTGTATGTATATAAACAAAATTTTCAACTGATTTTAAAAATATAAAAGTTATTAGATGTAACGCAATAAAGACTCTCGTAGATTATTTTTACTCGACGATCGGATAAGCCCGTTGTTTAATAAATAGCAGAAATGTAAAAAAATTACATTTAGGCAAAACATTTTAAATATGTTTACGTTTAGGCAAAAATCCTAAACCTATGTTGAAAATTTATGTTCAAAAAATATCATTTGGAAATCGTGTTGATTAGTTTTTAGCAATGATCGCTTGAGTCGTTTTTCCATAAATGATTGTTAGAATAAAATTTTTAATTGTTAGTTATGGTCGTTATGTAAAAATTATTTAAAGCTTGGATTAATCGGTCTTGCATTTAGAAAATACTCCGTTTCAATAATATTTAAATTTAAATATTTAAAGTTAAATCCCTTGTCGAAATTAACCAAAATGTGTACAAAATTCTCTGCAATAGTTTCTCACATTATAATTCTCTACTTTGCTAACATATTGATTTCTTATTTATTAAGTCGATTATTTATATATATCGCGCAGTTCATGTAACGCCTTAATGCAAAATGCCACTTGCTCCTAATTTTCATTTTATTTTCAATTACCGTTTAGAAAGCGCTGTGTCAAATAATACATACACAATCATAAGCACGAAACGGAATAATAGTCTCTTCCACAACAGAATAGTTTTACCCACGTGATCAGAAGCATTGGAGGCGGAAGCGCATACATCATTTTAATTTTTTCTAAACTATTCGATGATAATTTTATTTTTATTTATTGAGATTAAATTTAAAGGTTGCTAATGAAACATTAAGAAATTTGTAGCACACGTATTGATATAATTATATAATATAACATTTTTATGTTAAACGTGTTTTATCCTTGAGATGAGTCAGTGTGTTACTTTGATATGTTTAACTCTTCAAGAATATATGTACAAGATTTTCCACTTTATACGCGTTTTTTCCGGTAACTGTCCTCTCCGATACGACACCCACAATTTCTCAACTTCTACTGAACCGATTTATTTCAAATTTTTACCGAGTCTTTTTCATAGCCTTCTCTTCATCATGAACTACTCTCCTTCCATAATTTCGATTTTTACTAT